TTGGCAGGGAATCCATTCTAAGACCCCCCAGTGGATGCCTGTAACTGTGGATATTGGTGAACTCTATATATACTATGTTTTTTCCTATACATAAATATCTATGATAAAGTATAATTTATAAATTAGGTATAGTAAGAAGTTAACAATAACTAATAATAAAATAGAACAATTATAACAGTATGTTCTAATTTTCCTTGTGATTTTTTTTCTTTGATCCATTGGTTATTTAAGAGTAAATTTCTACATATAGTCAATCCTCATTATTCATGGATTTCATATTTGTGAATTCACCTACCTGCTAAAATTTATTTGTGACCTCAAAATTCATACTTGCTGCACTTTGTAGTCATTCATGGACAATGCAGAGTGATGAAAAATTTGAGCTCCCTGGCATGCACATTCCCAGCTAAGGATGAACAGGGCAATAGTCTGCCTTCTTGTTTCAACTATCATACTATAAACAAGAATCCTTTTCACAGTTTGTTTAGTATCCATGGTTTTTGCATTTTTGTGCTTTTTCTTGGTGATTTCACTGTTTAAAATGTCCCTCAAGCTTAGTGCTGATGCACTATCTAGTGTTCCTAATTACAAGTTGGCTATGATATTCCTCAGAGAAAATACTTGTGTTAGATAAGATTCATTCAGGCATGAATGATAGTGCTGTTGGCCATGAGTTCAATGTTAATGAATCAATGATCCAGTACAGTCAGAAAAAGGAAGTGGAAATTCACCAATCTGTATGTAAGGCTACCAGAAAGTACTAACATAACATCTGTAGTATATGATGAAGCCATGGAAAAGATGGAAAAGTGGCTAAGTTTGTGGATTCATGATATGAGAACTGATATTCTTTTAAAAAGCATAGGGGTGTTGTGAGGCTGAAAGCCAAGGAAATTTACAGTCGTGTTTCCCATAGTTAGGAAAATGTTGAGCCCTTCTCGCGTAATGCTGGTTGGAAAAGATGATATAAACTGAAAAATGTTAAACTTGCAGATGAGGCAAGATCAGAAAGCTGGGGAAGAATTTTAAAAATATGTTCTAAGTGTTATAGGGGAAAAGCGCTGTGTGAAAGAGCAGGTTTTCAATGCTGATGGTACTGGCCTGTAGAACCATTTCTCTCTTTAATTCTGCCAATGTTTCCTTCATTTATTTTGGGGCTGTGCTTTGTTCATATATGTTTATAATTGTTATATCTTTTTTGGTTATCAATACATACTGTCCCCTGTCTTTTGTAGCAGATTTTTTTTAATTAAAAAAATGTATGTACAAAGAGCTATCATGGTTCTTTGCATTGGGTGAATGCTTTCGATAATCCGTTCAAGGAAGATAACTTAGTCCAACTTAATGATACCCATATCATTTGCATACTGATAGTACATATTAAGGTGGCATTTCCAAACTGTGGCAATACTTTTGTGGGATGGGGATATGGAAGAGAAATCAGGAGTTCAAGTTTGATCATGTTACATATAAGATGCCTATTAAACAGTGAAGTGGAAATATCAAGTGGGCAGTGGATATTCAAATCCGGGATTCAGGAAAGTGGTCCAGGCTAGAGAAAGAAATTTATTCATGAACATACGGATTATATATAAAACCCTTAGTATAGATTGGGAAATGAAATATCCTTAGAACTAGGCCCTGGGGTACACCAAGAAGTCATGAAGAAAAGGAGGACAAACCAAGATGACTGAAAAGGAGTGGTTTATATATATTTAATCTATTTGTAGTGAATTCTGTCATTTCTTGGCAAAGGATAATTCCACACAAATCTGTTTTCTTCTGAGACTCTGTAAACGATTTTTTCTTCAATCTATTGTGTATGAAGAACTCCCATCAGTAATTCTGTACATTTTTACTTCCTTACGGGGTCTAAATAAAAAGAGAAAGAGGGAGGCATGGGAGGATTCCCTCCCCCCGTTGGCTCTCTTTTTTGCTTTTAATAGCTTTTAAAAATTAATAAAAAAACTTATTTATATAATTTTAATTAATTTATTTATTTTTAGAGACAGGGTCTCAATATGTTGCCCAGACTGAGTGCTTGTGGTAGAGATAGAAGCCACTGTTATCTCTCATCTAGATTATACCAACAGCCTCCTAACTGGTCTACCTGTTTTCACCCTTGCTCCCTTACAATTTAATCTTATCCTAGCAGCTATCATGACACTGCTGTACTCCAAACCCTGCAATGGCTCCCCATTTAATTCACAGTAGAAGTCAGATTTCTTCCAGTGGGCCTGAGAGCTTCCCATTACCTTCCTGACCTCTTCTACTTGCTCTCTTTGCTCTAGCCACACTAGCCTCCTTGCCAGGCATACTTCATCATTAGAAACTTTGTTTGCTCTAGCTGACTCCCCTGCCTGATGTGTGTTCTTCCCTCAGTTATAAGGCCTGGCTGATACTCTCACCAACACCCAGTCTTGCCTTAATTCTCAGCTTCTCAGTGAAGCCTCCTTTGACCATGTTCTATTTAATAGTGTGACCTGCCCACTTACACTTTGAAACTTACGATCCTACTTCTGTTTCTGTTTTAATTAATATAGGCTTGGTTATGCTGTGGTAATAACTTAACCCCCAAATCTTAGTGAATTAACACAACCAAAGCTTATATCTCATTTATGTTATATATCCGTTATCCGTTATGAGATAGTAAACAGCTCTGACGACTTAGAACCTCACGGACCCATGCTGATGGAATTGTGCCCATCTTGTGATGCATCTCAACATGTTATTTCCCAGGATCACATCTATAGGAAAACGAGAGTTCAAAAAATGATTGAAAGTGGTATGAATCACCTTTCCCCCCAGCTTATTGGCTAAAACAGTCACATGATCCCAGTCTTACTGCAAGCAAATCTGAAAATGTAGGAGGAGCACAAGAAATATTAATGGGCATTACTGTTTTTCAACACCATCCTTTTTATTTTCTTCATCAGATTTTATTATAGTAATATATTTGTGTATATTATGTCATATAATTTGCATGTTTTTGTGCTTGCTATGTAGTACCTACCCCAGAAAGAACAAAAGTGCTTATTCTCCCAGAAAATTTAATACTTACAATTTCTTACAAGCCTTTGTTCATGCTATTCCTGCTCTTTGTAATACTCTCCATCTGTTTTACTCTGTCCTCACTCCTTCCTTTCTCTGATGAAATCCTGCTCATCTTTCAGGATAACTTAAATCTTATGTTATCTAGGAAGCTTTGTTAACATCTCTAAGTGAAGTTCAATGCTTATCCCCTAGGCTGCCTCTGAATTTTTAGTATACTCCTGTCATAGCACTTACCTCATATATGGTTACGTGCCACGGCTATCTGCCTCATGCATGTGGAAACATGGCTGGAGAAATAGGTAGAGCCTAGAAAAGAAACTGTGAGGATGTGAGCAAGAGCGGTATAAGTGGGGATGGAGAAAAGATGACAGATGGAGACTGTTTACCAGATAATATTAGTGAACCTTGGTTATTGGTTGAATGCAAGGGATAAGGAAGGAATGAAGGATAAACCATGCTTCTTATTTAGATTATGTGGTCTACGATGTTTCCAAATTAAATAGAGAATGTGAGAGGAGGAACAAGTTCGGGTGATAGGATGATGGGCTTGATTTGAGGTATAGTGAGTTTAGCTCCATAGGAACCTCTAGGTGGATATGTGCAGGAGTTGGATATATGACCCTTAAACCAGGGAAATGGGTAGGTCTTCAGCATACCTAGGTAGTAATTTAAAAATCAGAAAGGGTAAGACTGTCAATAACTACTAAGGACAGAATCCTTCTTTATACTGATGTTTAAGGAACATGAAGAGGAAGTTATACTCTTGTATAACTCTTGAGAAACACCAGGAAAAAAAATGACGAAAGGAGAACGAGGAGAGAAGAGTGTGAAGCTGTGACTATCAAGGGTATTTAGAGTTTCAAGAAGAAACTGGAGGGCCATGTTAGCTATAGTAGAGAAGTCAAATCAAAACAGACTCTGTCTGTAGTCCCAGCAACTCAGGAAGCTGAGGCAGGAGGATGGCTTGAGCCCAGGAGTTGAAGGTTGCAGAGAGCTCTGATCACACCTGTGAATAGCCACTGCATCCCAGCCTGGGCAACATAGAGTAGTGACAGTCGTGTCTCTTTAAAAAACAAAAAACAAAAGCTATGTACTAAATCTTTACCACTCTTTTTACAACCATACTTAACTCCCTTACTCCCTTTTGAACCCCACTTCTCCAACCACTTTGGCTTCAATTTCATTGAGAAATTTGAAGTCATCAGGCACAAACTGTCCTCAGTGTGCCCTCCCTTCATCCTCCTTTACAAACTTGCCACTATGCCCGTCTATCCTTTCCCGCTCGCTTCCCTGTAATCTCAAGACAGTCAAAGCCAACTCTTCTAATGCCATTGATACCAAGAGTTGTCTGCACTTTGTTTATACCTTTTCCCTTTTTACGGTTTCTTTTCCGAGTATTTCATGAACATTTTTCTCAGTAAACTGGTTACCATTTGAAATTTTGGTGGATGGGCCAGAAGTGGAGAACTTAGTACAAGGTGTTGAGTATGGAATACAAGGAGGGGGAGTGTCAACACTGAAGGAAGTGAGAGGGAGATAACCCCCAGTTCTCCCCAGGGAAGTTAGGACATTTATATGGACCAAATTCAGGTACATTTCCTGAGGCTTTTTCGTTTTGGATGCCATATTAAAAGTATGACTCCTACCTGTCCTCCTTCTGGAGAATGCTAGCAATTGAGTCTTTATTATAGATGCAGAAGTGAGCCAGTTCCCACAATAAAGAATGTAGACACATGAGATTTCATTCATTTGTTCATTCGTGCAGAAGTATTTCTCAAATGTCTGCCATGTGCTATGCTCAGGGTTAGATGCTGGGAATATAGTGGGTAATCAAATTACATAGTTCTTATTTTCAGGGAGTTTATAGTATAGTGATTTGGTTTTTATTTGCTTGTTTATATCTAACTTATTTGTTTAACTAATTTTACTTTTCTCCCCCACTTTAGTATCCTCTTTTATATGGACTGATTCTTATTGCCTGCTGGTGTTCTCTAGTTTGCCTAAGTAGAATTTACATGGGAATGCACTCCATTCTGGTAAGGAAAATATTGTGTTCTTTTTTTATTTTTTATTTTTTTATTTTTTATATATAAAACTGAACTGTAAACTATTGTGTTCTTAATGCTTTATTTTTTATGACATTGAAAGGCAATTTTATATATAATTTTTAATTATTTGCAAGCTTACATGAAACCTAAATGAGAAAATATAGTTATTGTCAATCTTCTACCTTTGTTAGCTGCTTTATGAAGTATTACTGTAGTAATCATGTTTTCATAGAAACAATTTCCAGCAATCACAATAGCAGTCTACATTATATACTCAGGATAACATTTCTTCCTCATTTCCCTCTCAGCTTTATTTTCCTTTGCAGTCTCTTCTATTCCTTTCCTGTCATTAAGTCAAAACCAACAATGTGAGTATGGAAATCAAAGAGAGCTCTTAAGTATCATTGAAGACCTAGTGACCAGACACTAAATGAAGTTAAACTATCTTGGTGCTATTTGTATTTACATATTAAACTCTACTTTTCTTCCTTTCTTGGCCAGATTACTACAATAGCTTCTTAATTAGTAGCCCTACTTCCAGTTTGACACTGCCCTATTCAGTATTCAGTCTCCTGTTTAGTAGACTTTCCAAAATACAATTATGATGCCATACTGAATTACTAATGTGTCCCCAAATGGAAAGGGTGTTTCTTACATCCATAAACTTCAGGAGTGCTATAACTTTTGCTTTCTTTGCCTTAACCATCCTGTTCATTCTTCAAGACTCACTATAAATGTTCTTAGCCTCTTCCCCATCTTTACTTTCTCAAGACTGGTGAGGCCCTTCTCCCACTTACCCTAAATTGTGATTGCTTTTTTCCTTATCTCTCACCCTCACTAGACTGTAAGTTCCGTGAGAACAGTAACTGTGTATTTTATCTTCAGCATGTAAGGTGGTGTCTCTGAAAGCATCTGTGAACATATTGTGTATTAGCAGGTAGATAAAGGATCAGGAAAAAAGATAAAAAAATATGAACTAATTCATGGAATCCTAAAATTTCCAGAAGTCCCAAACACTATTTTAATAAACAAATTCTTTTTGTTTGACTTTTTATAATTATTTATGTTTAATACAAATTGTGAATTTACATACAATTCTGACTAATCTTTACATTTTTATAAACAGAATAAGTGTCATTTTTATGTGAAATCTAATATTTGTCATAAGAAAATCTTATCTCTCCTCTGTGGCTTGTTAAAGTTACTCTCTTCCACCCCTAAAAGTTAGCAGTACCACTTCTAAAAACTACCAAATGGTTATGCATCTGTGAGTGATAAAAAATCAATCCCTGGTATTTCTTGGAGGAAAATATATTATATAATTTTATCCCTAGATTCATTATTATCATATAGAGAGGAACAAGAATCTTATCTTTTTATGTTGAATATATAATCTCAAAGATATTATTCTTTAAAAAAAAATGAAATGTTTAGTGGGTTGGTCAAATATCTATCCAGGTTGACTTTAGTTCATTTCCTTATATACTGGATAACATCTGTTCTTGAATCAGCTGAAATGAAAACAATATTGATGTATTATTTTTCAAACCACGAATCCTATAACCCTAGTTATTAATTCAAAGACTATCTTGTCACATAGAATGTCTTATTATTTTTATTGACTAGGCACTGAATTTAATTATGTGCAGTATTATAAATTTTTATTTTTCTTTTAAAAGTAAAATCAGGAATAACTTGCAAGTATTATAAATTATAATTCCATGCTATATATTTTTGATCAGTAATAGTTATAAATTTTTGATTAGTATTAGTTGAATTACTTCTTTTTTTTTGAGACAGAGGCTCACTCTGTTGCCCTGGGTAGAGTGCAGTGGCATCATTGTAGCTCATTGTAGCCTCAAACTCCTGGGCTCATGCAATCCTCATGCCTTGGCCTCCCAGAGGGCTAGGATTACAGGTATGAGACACTGCACCTGGCCATAGTTTCTTAGTTGTGTTATGCTAATTGATATTTGAATTTATACCCACAGTGAACCCATTTTTAAACAGTATTGGTCTAATATACTCCCACAATTTGTGCTTTTTTCTATATTTTAATGTTTCAGTAACTAGCTATATTTTGAACTATTTTCTAAAACGTAATTAGTATCTTCATTGGTTATTAAGAAATTAGGCAGAGCGTGCCCCACAAATTGCTTAAAGTTTCTTAGAGACCATATTGTCTAACATGATATCTTCATTAACATTAAGAAGACAGCTCTAATAATGTGTTGTAAATAATTTATAATAAATCCTTCATTCGGTATTTGCCAAATGCTTTATTGTTATTGTTTCAATACAAAAGACAACAGCTTAGCTTATTTTTAACTTCTGTCTACTTTCCTAAATTGTTTTTTTTATCCCCAGAAAAGTAAAAAATATTACCTATTTTCTTCATTTATTATCAATCCCAGCTCTCAAAATTTAATTTCTTAAAAGAATATACAAGCCATTTTTAAATTACTAAATTGAATACTTGTCAAATTACAATTTTGTTTCTATATTAGTAAAATTATGAATATGTAGTAATTGCATTTGCCCAAATTATATTAAATGTTTATATATATATATATATATATAAATAGATATTTATATGTATGTGTGGAAAGTATTTTTAGAAAGGTATTTTAAGCATAGGGAGCACTCTCTTAAAGTATATACCTCTCAAACCCATTTTTATAACAAGAAATAAAAATCAAATCAACCAAACCGACAAACATGTTATAGAGAAAAGTCTGTAACAGTGAACACTAAGAATTTTAACAGTGAGGCCGGGCATGGTGGCTCACGCCTGTAATCCTAGCACTCTGGGAGGCCGAGGCGGGCAGATTGCTCGAGGTCAGGAGTTCGAAACCAGCCTGAGCAAGAGCGAGACCCCGTCTCTACTATAAATAGAAAGAAATTAATTGGCCAACTAAAAATATATAGAAAAAATTAGCCGGACATGGTGGCGCATGCCTGTAGTCCCAGCTACTCGGGAGGCTGAGGCAGGAGGATCGCTTGAGCCCAGGAGATTGAGGTTGCTGTGAGCTAGGCTGACGCCACAGCACTCACTCTAGCCTGGGCAACAAAGTGAGACTCTGTCTCAAAAAAAAAGAATTTTAACAGTGGTTATTGCTTGTTATTGTTTATCTGTATTTTTTAGTTTTCTATAGTAAGCATGTGTTAAATTTGTTTTTTAATTAAAGATAATAGAAAGTTCAAAAAGCATCCTAATAATGCTTTTATAATTAAAGGCAATGCATTACAACAGTACATTTTGTTGTTAGAAACCTTATTGGCATCAGTGGCATATTGAAATTTAAACCAGGACACCTGAAATATAGTTAAAATAAAAACAAAACCCACTAGGAGACAGGAGATGTCAATTCCAGTCTAAGCAAATCAGTAGGCTCTAGGTCTGTTTTCTGATCAGGATAAATGAAAAAGAGAAAATTCCAGATCTAATATAAATAAATCTTCATTGAATTTATGGTATTTGATATCTTCTACCATAAATTTGATAACCCTGAATATTCCACTCAAATGTGTAATTATTAACTTTTAGGGCATAAAATTATATATAATCAGAAACATATAAAATTATTTGTGTTGTCCTTTTAGAAATGTGCTATTTTGAGCTCTTTATGTTACCTTTGGCATTGTTCTTTTTTTTTTTTTTTGAGACAGAGTCTCACTTTGTTGCCCAGGCTAGAGTGCCATGGCATCAGCCTAGCTCACAGCAACCTCAAACTCGTGGGCTCAAGCAATCCTCCTACCTCAGCCCCCTGCACCACCATGCCCAGCTAATTTTTTCTATATATTTTTAGCTGTCCAGTAATTTCTTTCTATGTTTAGTAGAGATGGGGTCTTGCTCTTGCTCAGGTTGGTCTCGAACTCCTGAGCTCAAGCAATCCTCCCGCTTCCGCCTTCCAGAGTGCTAGAATTACAGGCGTGAGCCACTGCGCCTGCCCACATTAATTGTTTATTGCAAACTTTGTGCTCTAATGCTTAAAAACATTTTGTTATACATTTTAATGTTATTCATTTTATTGATATCACAATTGTACCCATCATGTTTATGTACTAAATTTGTTTTTTGTCTTTTTTCCCCCGTTGGGAAGCACCTTGAATCACTAAAAGTTCAGAGAGCTCCCAGTGTCCTAAATTTGATTGTTCCTTCCTTCTGGTCCTATGGTCCTACTGGATGGAAGTTCAATATGCCCTTATTATCTGGAGCAATAAATATAATTAATAAATAACTCAAACAGAAGAGAAAGCAGATTTTTATAGTTTTATTGCAATCTAAGTTTAATATTCATAGAGGTATACAAAAAAAGTAGAGAACAACAAATACTGGATTTTTATGTCATACCAAAATATACTTCTAAAAATATAATTGATCTAAGAGCAGTTATTTTAAGGAATTCTCTTTTTTTTTGAAATGGAGTCTTGTGCTGTCACCTGGGCGAGAGTGCTGTGGTGACAGCTTAGTTCATGGCACCCTCAAACTCCTGCGCTTAAGCGATTCTCCTGCCTCAGCCTTCTGAGTAGCTAGAATTACAGGTGTAAGCTACCACGCCTGGTTAATTTTTCTAGTTTTAGTAGAGAGATAGGGTTGCTCTTGCTCAGGCTGGTCTCGAATTGCCCATGCAATCCACCCGCCTCAGCCTCCCAGAGTGCTAGGATTATAGGTGTGAGCCACCACCTAGCCTTTAAAGAATTCTTAATGTTAAAGTGACCAAACAAAAAATTTTAAAGACATTTAATTTTTTCATTTTTTAAGGTATTGTAAAAGAAACATTTTATAGGATTGAACATGTATACTTATCTGTAATATGAAAAAAGTGTAATGAAAAAATAGCTAACTTTAAAGCTATTAAGCCTTCCTTTTACTTAACCTTAGAGTATAAAGCAATAGCTTTTGTCCTGGTAACCAAAAACCTAAGGGTATTTCCCAGGACCTGTGCCTTTAATTATAAGGTAGGGAGGATAACAAACAAATGGATTGTAACCTCAGAAGGTGAAATCATTTTGGCAATCTGGGGTCTGAAATATGAAGAACAGAGGTTTGACAGTCACATAATTTGATATCTCCATCTCCAAAAGTATGGTCAGAGTTTGAGTCACTTGTGCAATCTTTGCGTAATTACAGTAAAATTCACTTAATCAGAATTCTTAAGTAATTTTTAGTATGTATCAGTGAGTTTTCTTGAAAGACCTTATGTTCAAAAAAAAGTTGAAAATTTAGTTTCTCTTCACTCTGAATATTTAACTTTTAATGCAGAAAATATTAATTTTTCTAACAAATATGTTTGAGTACCTTCAATCTATGAGGTTAAATAGCTATATGACCTAAGTCCAGTTTCCTTCATTTTAAAAACTGGTTGAGGCCGGGCGCGGTGGCTCACACCTGTAATCCTAGCACTCTGGGAGGCCAAGGCGGGCGGATTGCTTGAGGTCAGGAGTTCGAAACCAGCCTGAGCAAGAGTGAGACCCCCGTCTCTACTATAAATAGAAAGAAATTAATTGGCCAACTAATATATATAGAAAAAATTAGCCGGGCATGGCGGTGCATGCCTGTAGTCCCAGCTACTCGGGAGGCTGAGGCAGTAGGATTGCGTGAGCCCAGGAGTTTGAGGTTGCTGTGAGCTAGGCTGATGCCACGGCACTTACTCTAGCCTGGGCAACAAAGCGAGACTATGTCTCAAAAAATAAATAAATAAATAAAAAATAAAACTGATTGAACCATAAATTTCCATCAGATTTGCACACTTTTGAGAGGAGAAAAGGTATATTCATCCTGAGGACAATAAGAGCAAAATGGGACTATAAAAGTCAAGCCATATTAGATTGGTTGTGATGATTAAATGGGACAGTAATTACGAAGTATTGGAGCAGTGTTTTTGGTACAGAAAGTATTATAATTATTCCCTGGAAATTCCTTAAGTCCAGGATCAAGAAATTAGATAGCATTTATTTCTCTTAAAGAATTCTTGTCAGACAGGATTATATAGTCAATGTGATGAGTGATGAGTCTAAAGAATTACCTTAATTGTCTTAATTTAACCAAATATTTATTTTCTGCTTACTAATGTACCATACACTGGAAATATATGTATAAATAAGATAAAGTCTTTATCTTTGAGTAGTCACAGTCTACATATGTGATATGTAATATAACAATGTAAATGTGGTAGTTTTCAACCAGGGATGCACATTAAATATGACTATAAATATGACTACATTAGAATTTAGAACTTAATGCCCTAAAGAAAAGGAAAAGACAAGCCACAAACTCCAAAAAAAGTTTATAGCACACATTGATAAAAGATTTTATTGATAAAGGATTTGTATGTGGAATATATAAATAAATACCGTAAATCAGGAAAAGAATCCAAAGAAAAAGAAAATTCAAAACAACTGCTCAAAAGATACAAATATACATTGCATACCCCATAAACTTATGAAAAGATACTTTGTAATCAGTGAAATTCAAATTAAGTATCAGTGAAATGCCATTTCACAGCCAACAACTGATGGAATCAAAATTTCTATAAACATTTTAGAAATTCTTTTATTATTTTTGCAAATTGAACATGTACATATCTATGATTCAGCCATTCCATTCCTAGGCATATACTCTGGACAAACTCTTGCACACCTATACCAGGGAACATCACAAAAAAGAACCTAGTAGCAACATTCATAATATCCCTGGTTGGCTTAAGAATAGATATTATAGCAACTAAAAATTCATGATCAACTATAACCACTTAACTAATCCAAAACCTAGAAACAATCTAAATGACCATCACTGGGAAAATGGATAAATAAATTATATAATCACACAGCAAAATATTACATAATTATGAAAGTAAATGGCCTACAACTACATATAACGAGTGAATCTTAAAACTGTAACGTTAAGTGTAAAAACCAGAGTGAAGGAGAGTGCATACTATATTTAACATTTTTCCAAAACTCAGAAAGAAGCAAAACTAGATAATATTTTTCCTGGAGATATATGCTAAGACAATTTTTTAAAACAGGTATTTATTCAGCCAAAATTCAGGCTTGGAAATTGCCTCTAGGGAGGAATGCAGAGTGATAGAACTGAGAGACAGCACACCAGTAGATTTGAAAGTATTGGTAATATAGTTCTTTTGTTGGGCAGTGATTTCATAGATACTAATTTTATTTCATATATACTCTACATATATTTTTCTATGTATAAATATTATATAATAAATTTCAAGACAGAAAAACATTAAGCAGCTAATCTATTGCTTAACTGTATTGAATGCTGTTGAGAGGTCCACCACTGTCTTGGACAGCATGAAGATCACTGGTATTCATAAAAGAGTGATTTCAGTGCAGTGATAAGTTTAGAAAAAAATTGGAAGTGAGCATGTAGAGGCAGTGAATATAAGCAACTCTGGATAAATTTTTCTGCAATAGAGAGTAGACCCCAGGATTTTGTTTTTTTTTTGTTTTAAGGTGGAAATTATGGAACATCTTGTATGTTGTCAGAAATAATTCAGAAAGGAAAGTTATTTTTATTAACTTTATTATTTCCTCCACTAAACCATCTTCTATCAGTTGCCCCTACCAAAAACTAGGATCTGTCTTTGATCACTCTTTCTTTTGCTCCTTTTCACATTCAATACATGACCAAGTTAAAGTTTTATAATATGTTAATCCATCTGTTTATTTCTCTTCATGTGGATATGGACCATGTTTAGAGTAGACCACTGTTGTAGGCTTCTGCTAGCATCTTCAGTGGCCTTTTGTCCTCCATACTTCCCCTGTAAGCCATTCTCTACAATGCAGAGGGAGTGCTCTTTACAAATATCAATCAGATTATGTTACACTCCTAGTTTGAAATCTTTCAATGGCTCCCTGTTGCTTTTGAAATCTGAACTCTGTACCTAGCCTATAAGGGCTCTACATGATTTGATCTCTGCCTACTTCTTGGACCTCATATCACATCCCTCTTTCCTTTGCTGACCATTTGAGCTACACTGGATTTCCTCTCAGTTCTTGCACTAACCAAGTTCTTTTCTGCCTCAAGGCCTTTGCACTTGGTATTCCCTCTACCTGGAACACTTTTCCTCTCGCTCTAAAGATAGGGCTGGCTCCTTTTTAGAATCAGATCCCTACTCAAGTGTCGCCTCCTCAGACAGGCTTCCTTAATCATGCTAATTAGGGACCTTCATCATACTATCGTCCTGTTTTGGTTTCTTTAGTTATGACATTCATAACTGTCTGAAATTATAATATTTATCTGCTTTCTTATGTGGTTATTGTCAGTCTTCCCTACTAACATAAGCTTTGTGACAGCAGTAATCTTGTTTTTTTTAAACAGTGTATCCTCAGCCCCTAAAATAGTGCCAGGCTCATGTAGGTACTCAGTATTTGTTCAGTGAATGAGTGAATGAGAGAAGGAAACTGCCTAGGATTTGTATCTTCTTTGATCATGGAGATAATTACATATTTAAATGCATGAAAATAAAGATCATTTCTTTGAATAATAAGTGTACTCTTTTTCCCAGAAATCAAAAATACACAATTTAAGCATAGTTTATTGTTCAGGATTTGAATATAAATTTGTGTGTATTGTATATATATAGTTAATTTATAAAAGAGTAGAACTATGAAAACATAATCTTTTATTATCAATAAATCTTTTTATCATTAAACAGTTTTTAGTGCCTACTATATGGTCAGTAACGTTTACTTTGAAAATTTGACAACTTTTAAAGATTTATATCTATTGAACATTTGTAATGTCAAGTATACATTATTTTTAAGTACCAAAAATGTTTAGTATTATACTAAACAACTATACTTTTATCTTTTTCCAGGATATTATTGCTGGATTCCTATATACCATTTTAATCTTAGCTGTCTTCTATCCATTTGTGGACCTGATTGACAACTTCAACCAAACTCACAAATATGCTCCATTAATCATCATTGGGCTTCATTTAGCTTTGGGGATCTTTTCTTTCACTCTTGACACCTGGAGCACATCCCGAGGAGACACTGCTGAGATTCTAGGAAGTGGTGCTGGAATTGCATGTGGAGCTCATGTTACTTATAACGTAGGTCTAATATTGGATCCTTCTTTAGATATGTTACCTTTAGGTAGGCTCCCCATCACTGTGACTCTGTTTGGAAAAGCCATATTGCGGATCCTCATAGGGATGGTACTTGTACTAACAGTCAGAAATATAATGAAAAAGATCACCATTCCTTTAGCCTGTAAAATCTTCAGTATACCATGTGACGATATTCGAAAAGCAAGACAGCACATGGAGGTTGAACTTCCTTATCGGTATATTACCTATGGAATGGTTGGTTTCTCCATCACATTTTTGGTTCCTCACATATTTTTCTTTATTGGTATCTCTTGATGGATAAATATTGTTTATGATAAGAAAGGAGGATATCAGTTACTGATATCTAAAAATATATTCTAGGTAAAAGCCAGATCAGAGTTAGGCTTTTGCAGAAATTTAACTTAAATAATTATTTAAGTAAATTTGTAAGAGTCAGTGCATTATATCATTGCACACCCAGATATTGTTTTAAGTGAGCTGAGCTATTTCAATACTGAGAAAATAATAAGTATCCATTTAGAATGTTCATGTAATATTTGGAAAGTTTTGTGCTGTTATGGGTTCAGGTTATATATAATATATATTAAGGTACACAATATGCAATTATATATCTAATATATGTTATATATAAAGTAATATACCTAAGTTTTTTTAAACCGTGGGGGTATATTATAAAATCAATAATAATATGCAAACAGTTGTGCCTGTGTATTTGAACTAAATACAGGTATGTCATTATTAACAAATATATTTAATGTTTATTTACCATGGGAGCCATTTCCTAATTGAATTGCATAATTATTAGACCAGAATGCAAATGATACCACACATTAATTTACTGCCTCTTTTTACACTGCCATCACCTTTCATGTTACCCATGGTGTTGAACATGGGAGGCATTTTTAATGGACCAAATTTTCAGAAAAATTAGTTTTTGGATTCCTTGTTTCTTTTTTAAAGTTCTGTACACTGTTTTGAATGTACTTTATTTGCATCTATTTTAGACATCAGTTTAATAATTCAGGTACTGAATTTTATGGCTTGCTAATTGTGCCTTTCTGTTGCTAAATTAAGAAATGCCATGTTTACTATGATATAAAAATAAGATGCTTCCTATGTGGGAACTTGAGAAAAAAAAATAAGACGCTAACTTTATTTTAGGTTATATAATCAGGCAAATATTTAAAAAGTATATGTCAAGCTAACAGGCATAGAATTAAACCACTCTTAACTCTTTAGCTTTTATTTAGAAAGAAATGTGGAATGGGCTAAACTTTCTCACTAATTTGTTGGAAAGCTAAATGGATAAATATTTCCCCTTTTTGTAGGTATTTTTCTGTGCATTGTAAGTTATAAGAACAAGATATATCTTTTTGTACATTGTCTTGATTGTTTATACTGCAAGTAGATATTTCCAGTGAATGAGAACATAGTGGAAATTTATAGATGGGACAATGCACATGCTTTATATGTAAAGAAAGCGTTTTCTAAATTATTTGGAAAGGATTGGATTTAGCACTGTTAACTTTTAATATCCATTTATTAGCTACTTAAGGTAAATTATAAAATCTAAAATTGGTATCAGTATTTTAAATCCTTTTCTTTTCAACTTTTTATTATTTTCAAATTTGGGTATACTATTAAACTATTTTCTGTTTCTGCCTTTATATTTTGAAGTGCGATTGTAATTAGGTTAACATTAAGTTTATTTGTAGAAAGTTTTTCATAAAGAAGAAAATTAACTTTCCATATAAATGAACATCAGGTATAGAAGTACTGATTTTAGTGCAATATCTATATGATTATCCAGAAGTACCGCTTAAGATGTTTCTATTTTGGACAACTTAACTATTTGAACTCATATTTTTATAATTCTCATTGAGAATTTAGGGGCATGGTAATTTTTACCAAAACTGAATCTGATAATTTTAAATAAAACAACTAAATTTACCTTTACCTATTAGTTAAAAGGAAACCACAGCATTTAGGAACTTATTGGTACATTGGAAGTGTGAAAAGAGCTTTTCTTTGAAAATGTGTGTTTAATTAATTGAATATTAGGGACTGTTGTGCATAATTTGAGTCTGTGCTACCCCATTAATTTTTATGTCTAGCTTAAAAAAATATTTGAAAATATTCCATTTCTTTGTGTTTTATTATTTTCTGGCCTATGACAGTTCTATGCTAAATGTATTTTAAAATAAAAGCCAAATTCAAGATTAAAGAGGGTTTTGTTTTGTTTGCCTTCTAGGCAATTGTCTGTTTTATCTGGTAGAGATTTTGTTTGTTCATTTGTTTTTCTCACCAAGAAATAAGCTTGAATCTGGATGGTAGAGATTTTTAAAATATGTCCAGGATTTTCATTCTAGCAGACTTTTCCTCTGAAGCAATTTGTTCAAAATCAAAGTACTGTTTTTAGCAATAGAAGACATTGAAGAAATTCTTTAAGGTGGAAACTGACTTCTGGCTTCATTTATGATTACCTCTAACATTGTACTTTTAGTGAAAAGTTTCATAGTATTTCTTTTTTAAAAAATTATACTTAAAAAATGTTTCAGTAGAATCTGTGACTAATAGTATTGTAGGTAGTTTACCACTATTCCTTGAATGTCAAGAATTAATCATAAGACTATAAACTGGTACTTTTTCAAGCAGAATAAAACATATGGACTCTTATAATTTTAAAATGCCATGATAGGTGGATTGTAAAAATTAGGTCTGCCAGAAACTAATTATAAGACCTAGTATAAACCTACTATAAAACCATGCTGCTTCAAAATTGACATAATTATTTTTATTTTGTAGCTTTCTTTACAAGTAATATTTATTAAATATATCTTTTTAAAGATAATATAAAAATTTATTCAGTGAAATGAATAGAATTTAAAGGCAAATTGTTCCCTCAACCTCCCCACCAGCCCCTTAAAGGCAAATTTTTACAAAACATTCCATAAAATTAGTAAATGCTAAAATGTTTTGAATATATAAACACACAATTTTATATGACAAAGATTTTTTTATTGCTTAAATAATTTTATTCTTGTTAACAATATTTATTCTAGATTTAAAAACCAAAATGTTTAGGCATTTTATAAGGGGAAATTTTTAAAATTTAACTTGATAGTTGCATTAGATTTTGTGAAGTGGGGTTTTGTTGTTTGCTAAGATTTTTTGAGAAAGGGAAGAGGTAACAACAGCTTGAGGAAAAGTAATTAACATAGTGGATGTTACTATGCTGGATATTTTGTCAAATTTGAGTCATGTTCTTCCATTTCTTTTTGAAGTATACATAAATTAAAAAAACCAAGCTGGTAAAAGAAATATTTTTTAAAAATAATAATGTTTAAGGAAATAAACTATTTTTAAACCTCAACTTGCTGACTTTTCCTAATTTGTCCTTCCCTGCCTCCTTTTTCCTCCAAATACGGAATTCTACAACTGATAGCAGTAACCTATGAGCAGAATAAAATGTGCTTTGATAACTGCTACACTGACTGTTCATCCTGAAAATTCTTAGTGATTGTGAGAGCTCTCTTGTCTGTAAATATGAAAACCAGATGCTTTCATTGTTCCAGAGGGCCTGTAAGAGACTATTTTCCTTTTCCTTTCATCATTTTTAGTCTTGGTGTATTTTCCACCAATGTCTAGAAAGCCCATTCTCTGGTACAGCAAGCAACAGGATATAACAGAATGTCTGATGTTTGTTTTTTAAGTTTTTTCCCCCTATTTTCTAAACACTAAGTGAATTTTTAAAATATCCTTTCTTATGTAATGACATTTTCTTAGGAGATGTAAAATGGATTCTCTCTCTTTATTTATTTTTTTTTATTTTTGATACAGAATCTTACTCTGTTGCCCAGGGTAGACTGCAGTGGTGTGTGATCATAGCTCACTGCAACCTCAAACTCCTGGCCTCAAGGAATCCTCCTGCCTCAGCCTCCTAAAGTGCTAGGTTTATAGGCGTGAGCCACCACGCCCATCCTGGATTCTCTTTTTATCCTCACAATAATATTACTTCCTTCACATTTGTTGTTTATCCCTGGCCCTAAATTAGGAGTCCTTTTAATTGAAATCCATTGTAGTACATATCACAATCTGTGATTATCTTATTTATATATTATTTACTTTTTAAGTTTTCCGTCTTCATCCTTATGAGGATGAAGCTCCTCCGTGAGGAAAAGGAGCTTATGCATCTATTTACTTCTGGATCCTGGGATGCAGCAGGCATTCAATTAATATACGTTGCATGAATTACATGATTACTCAATCCCTACACAGGCTTCAGTATGTGCATTTTCTGGGGAAAAATTCTACATCTTTGAGAATTGATTCTCAGATCAATGATTTAAAACTTTTAAAATTGTTCAATAGTCCATATTTTACTTCTTGTTTTAGCTGTTTTAAAAGTTTAGGTTATAAATAAATGCTTCCAATTTATCTGGTAAGAATTTCATCATTTTTCATGTAAACATTTAAGGTTTAATAATTTAATTTTTGGAAAGTTTTGCGTGTAACTACTATAATACCCTATTGTATAGAATGTGATTTTTATTCAAGTTAGTTTTAAGATATTAGTTTCTTTAGAAATGAAAGTAAATCTGAAAAGAAAATATTCTGTATGTGTAGGGATATAATTTTTAGTTTCTAGTAATGAGCTATATATAAATGTGTTCTTGAGAATATTTTATACAATTGATCTTTACTGTTTCATATAATGGGCTACCTCATTTAAAATTTTGAAGTGATATTTATGATTAAAATTTAGATAAAATACAGTCAGGGCTTAAATATCAAGTTTTGTTGGTTTAAGCAGAGTTAAAATGCTCCCTTGGTGTCCAGAGTCTCCAGGCCCAAATTTACAGGACTCAGTTGGGGTTGGTGACAATAAAATGGATTGCCCTACTACTTAAAGGGCTTTTCCTCTCTTTCATCTGGGTTGATGTAAGGGGGAAAATTCACCAAACTCATTTTAATGGACAGTGTTATTTTTGCTCATTTCTGATTGAAATGCTGTGGTGACAATCTTAAAATAGTAAAAGAAACTGAGTAATAATCCCATAACATTTTTCATTGCAAAATGTTTCAAATAGCTTACAAATAGGAATTTTAAAATATTTGTTTCCAGGCAATATATTCTCAAATCTTATTTAAGGTATTGATGGACAGAGGGTATAATTTTTTTAAATAACATAAATTGATTTATGAATATGATTGATTAAACACCCAAATATGACATTTACAATTGAAATATTTTCTACCTTTTCTAAAAATAGTTTTCATTTTTCCACTATGCTATATATGTTAAGGGTAATCATAGAATTATAAAATATTTTAGACATATCTGGGATCTTAGAGTTCACATATGGCAATTTTTTACCCAATTCATAAATCTCTTCTAAAATATTATTAGCAGATATTCATGTGGAATTTTCCTAAATATTTAAATAGTCAAGTCAGCTATAACTTTATGAGGCACTCTATTGCATTGTTGAACAGATCTAAGTGAAGTAAGATTTTGATGGGCTTAAGAGCACTGTGGTAGGGCAGAGGATAAATATTAGGTAGAAGAAATAGGAGGAACCAAAGCATGGAAATGGAACTATTTTAGACATCTTAGCAAACAAATAGATTGCAATTCGCCTGGAGCATGAAGGTATATAAAAGGGAGCAGTAGATTACAAAGCTGAAACTGCTTACAATGTCCAGTAAACGACGGATATGGTGAATTGTTGACTTTCTTTACCAGTAGTAGAGTGACACTATTTATTGCTAGAGTGCTGTGGCATCAGCCTAACTCACAGCACCCTCAAACTCCTGAGCTCAAGCGATCCTCCTGACTCAGCCTTCCCAGTAGCTGGGACTACAGACACACACCACCACGCCTGGCTAATTTTTTCTATTTTTAGTAGAGACAGGGTCTTTACTACTACTGAGCTCAAGCAATCCTCTCACTTCAGCCTCCCAAGAGTGCTAAAATTAAGTGCGTCTCTGAGAGGCCGAGGCAGGTGGATCACTCCTGATCAGGAGTTCGAGACCAGCCTGAGCAAGAGTGAGAAGCCATCTCTACTAAAAATAGAAAGAAATTAATTGACCAACTAAAAGTATATAGAAAAAATTAGCTGGGCATAGTGGCGCATGCCTATAGTCCCAGCTACTCGGGAGGCTGAGGCAGGAGGATTACTTGAGCCCAGGAGTTTGAGGTTGCTGTAAGCTAGGCTGACGTCACGGCGCTCTAGCCCCAGGCAACAGAGTGAGATTCTGTCTCAAAAAAAAAAAAAGATTACATGCATGCACCACCATGCCCAGCCGGCAGTTTTGTTTTCTAAAACCTGTGATAAAGGAAGAGAATTATTAAGAGGAGAAATAGGGCAATTTAATATATATTAATCTTGGATTTTTATGAAAAGGCCCAAGGCCTTGAATTTTGGAGACATGGTATCATGACTACTATAATTGCAGTTATTTAGGAGTCCCCAGGGAGTTAGAATTTTGGATGTGAAATTATACTACCCCCCCACCTTTCAAACCCTCAAAAGAAGGTTGCATCACAAATTAATGACATACTCAGAAATTTACAGACCCTGAGGAATCACGTGATGAGGATAAGGAAGAGTCTGCAGACCAGCTACTCTTACAACAGACTGGGGGTCTACAGTGTGTTCTGCAAGGAGGACTAGCATCAAGAGACTGACTGGGATTTCCAGGCACGCTCTAGGAATAAAGTTGATGTTTGTAGGAAAATACCTGTTGCGTGGCAAGAGTGACGCCATCTTAAAGTGAAACCGCCAAGATAACTGATGTTTGACTCCTGCATACTAAGGTGTTCTGCAGCATAGCCTTTACACAACGCCTGCAGCAGAGATAACTCCTCATAAATATGCTTCTCTAACCTCCTCAGTGGTCACAAGTTTTGGCACAAAAATCTGCGACATGACCAGCTGCGTATGTCTTTACCCCAAAAGCTTGCTATTTAGAGGATACTTTCTGAAGGGTGGGTGCTGGGATCCACCATCTTGCAGTGACCTGAGACATTTGTTCATAAGTCCCTATTAAATATTTTCTTTCTGAGAAATTGGCTCTTTCATTGGCCTCTCAGCTCCCTTAGCTTTTGGGGGAAGGTTTCCATATACCTGCTCACCATAAGACAGTGTTATTGAACTTATTTCTTATCTCACCATACTTAAGAGACCATGAAATTTCCTCCATGGATTGAGATCAGAGCTT